CTTCTTTTGGGCGACTTTGGGGCCAGTTTATGTGGCATCCGATTGGTGTGAAACATTGCCCAGGAGGGGTGTCGTTTACAGAGGCCCATAACACATCGGCCAGGAGGGTTGTTCAAATTGCCCTCGGAGCAGCCGCGGCTATCCTGCAAGCGAGGGGAACTGGGTCAAGAGTGTTCAGGTCGACCAGGCACAACAGCTGCATATTGAAGCAGTTTTCCTTGAACAAGAGGGGTGGCGTGTTCAAGTGGCCCTTTTGCAGCCGCTATTTTTTGGACATGCTTGTGTTTTCGAATGGAAATAGGTCAAGAGACTTGAGGTCAGTGACTCCCAAACCGCTGCTTGTGTGAAGTCGCTTGACGTTGAGAGATGAAGCTTTGAACAGGAGTGGAACAGCATTATTGGGGGAAGGGATTTAACGAGGGGGGACAGCATTGTTAAGGAAAAGAGATTGAGCAAGGAGGTCGGACAGGATTGCTGATAGGAATGAAACTATCGCATGTAGGTCGGACAGAATTTCATCGGAGATGGACGTGGAGAATTCCAAAATTGTTCAGCCGAAGATACCAGTGGATGAATTGCATAGAAATTAGATGTCCCGTCAATATCTGCCCAACCCAGCCTGGTAAATATCAGCTAAATTGCAACCCGTCTTCTGTGAAGAAGAGGGTGTGAAGTACGGGAAAATGTGGATGTCCTGTATGTGTTCGTAAGTAGCGAGGATGACGACGTTGACATCGAGCGTTGGACTACCTTTCGAGGCCTTTTTTATCATATGCGAGGTGCTCGGAAATGCATCGACCTGGGTGAATTCGTAATGTATTCTCCTTTAGGAAGGAGACCGCTTTGCTTTCAAGTGTCTTTACTTCTTAACCACCATTTTTCTCATATCTAGATGTGCCAAAGGCTTTTCTAATCTCCGTGATAGCTGACACTGTTGATACAGAGCATGTACGCCCAGCAAGTCGGTCATCTGACTGTTATTACATGTACGAAACATCAGATTTAAATGAAACCAAGATCAGATGAAAAAATTATCCCCTTACTTTCCCTTATAAACGCAACTTAAAACCTTGTGAAAGAATGTAATTTAAAACCGAAAAATACCTTTTCTTCAAGCGTACATTTTGGAGAAAAGAATATTCGCTAGCAAACGAGCACAAGAAATTATAGTTTCCGGCGCGTTTTCAATAAATATGTTTCTATTTATAAGGGCATCGAAAACCAATGAGAAAAATGCACACTACTTAAATGGCGGGCATCTTGGTATGACTGAAATATCTTGGTATTAGGCTGCTGGGTAATTAATATTACAGTGGAACCTCGGTCAACGAGTTCAATCCGTTCCAGCACCGAGCTCGTTATCTGAAACGCTCGTCTTGTGAAACGTAACCAATCAATCCGCATCAGTTCACTGATTGGCAGCAGGCGACTGAGGACCCATGCCCTGGGGGCTAAGACTTAACGGCGGACACAGACACAAACACGCACTGACAACTCGTTAAGTGAACGGAAGCTCATAAATCGAAACAAATTTTCTACGGGTGGTCCGCTCGTTACCTGAACTGTTCGTAGATGGAGCTGTTCGTCATCCGAGGCTCCACTGTACAACCCTGTTTAAGTTATTTGGTGAAAGTCTAATTTATGTTCCAAACCAGCTTATTTGAGTAATCGATTATTTGCGGACAATAATTAAAATGTCCCAATAGTGCCCATGTTGACATAATCGTTGACTCTATATCAAGCCTGCCCGCCTTGGGGGACAGAGGTGGATGTCGTCGCTAGCACCGGTCAAACTACCAGGTTACGCCTTTATGTCTGCATCGAAACTAGGTCCAGATTGCTTGTGATAAACTAGGTCACGGGCAGTTGTGACCGTCTGGCCACACCTGTTTCCGTGCTAAAGCCAATTGGATGACCGCAGTTCTGTACGTCTGGGGCCGACTAAAGTGACTTCACAGCAGGAGCTTTTGTTTAGAAGATGAGTGCACTTCCAGAGTTGACGTCCCGAAACAAAATTTTCCGCCGTGCAATGACTACGGTCGGCTGCAAGTCAACATGTCAAATAAGTTGCTTTGACTTTTCGCATTTTACCAGTCTCCCGGTGCAGTTAATCTAAATAACCCTTCTGCGAATAGGTTTTTTTCACTCAAGAGAGTTTTTGCACGGTCTTCCTACTGCCGCCTTATACAACTGCGTCAACTTTCGTGACGAACCTGAAAATATTTGTTGCGAGGAACGTGCTCCAAGTTCCCTCAGTATTTTCACATGGAACTGTAAGTTTGGCAGGGGGAGGCTGAAGTTGTCATACGACACAGTCCGGCGATCAAAATTAGGGGAACTCAATAATGGGTTGAACTCCTCGAAGTTGCGTCATCAGACAGCAACAGAAGATCGGTGTTCGGAGTACAACTGGAATACTTAGTAAATGGAAGTTATGCCTCTGTCAATTTATCCCCTCACGAGTATGACGCTGAAGTAGGCGAAACATAGGACTGATATACAAATGTATTTTTTGACTGAACCTGAGAGGGCCCATCCTGAGTACTTGCTTTTGACGGACCAAAAATCTGAAAAGAAATTCCATCTCCTGTCAACAAATCGACCTGTACTAGGTCAGACAGTTCACTGATGCATGCGAGAAGGAAAAGGTAGGAAGGACCGATGATGATGATGATGATGATGATGATGATGATGATGATGTTGATGATGGTGATGATGATGATGATGATGATGATGATGATGATGATGATGATGATGATGATGATGATGAAATCGCGGCAGTTAACGGCTCTGAAGTGGACTGCTAAGCCATCATCGCAGCAGTTACAAACCCCAACAATGCTCGCGAGAGCTGTTAATTATAGCATATCTGCGGACGCACGCCAACTACATAGCACAAATTCTGCACTCCTTAAGCCTCCACTACCCTTATCTACAAACGTCTCT